CAGCTGTGTTTCCTCAGGTGTTTCCACTTCCCTCATTACCCTTCTATGTATTTAAGTCCTCTGTCTTCCTCTGTTCAGTTTCGGGTCATCTGTTTGTCTGTCTTAAGTCACAAAATTGTTTTCAAGCTTCGGTTCAGGTTCATGTTCATGTTTCTCATCATAGTTTTTGCATGCACCTGTTCTGATTAATGTTCACGTCCCCTGTCATAGTTTTCTATGTTAGTGTTAGCTTATCCCGATTTAGTTTTTAGTTCAGTTTTGCCCCAGCTTGCACTTATTTTTGTTTTTTGCCAACAGCCCAGCCCGGCTCACTTTTTGTTACATTTTAGTTCTGCTCCTATGTCTGCTCCGTGTTTGTGGTCAGCAATTGTGGAGGCTCGAGAGCGGGTCCTCTCCATAGACGAGGAGTACCAAGCCCAAGCCTTGCTCAGCCCTTCCTGAACGCCTCTTCTGCTCAGCGTTCTCCACCACAGCCTCGGGGCCCCGAGGAGTTCTGCTTCTGCTCTTGCTCTTGACGAAGGCGGTTGCACTTTTCTCCTCTCCTCCTCCTCCTCTCCCTTAGCTTCCCTGCTTAGCCTCTTATGTCCTTGTCTAGTCTCGTGTTTTTTGTATTACTTTTCCCTGGAACACTCTCTCACAGTCTGTTCTCTAAAACCTAAAAGAGAATTATGGATTTGATCAACTGGTCTCTGAATGCAATTGACACCCCTTCTCAACGAGAAGTCTGGGTTGGGTGAGCTTGACTGCTGAAGATATCTACCTATTCGGAACCATGATAACAGGGTTCTGGCGGATCGGAGCTGGCACACACTCATCCCCCCTCCCTTTCGACGCTTATTCCCTTCCGATGCTGACGGTGGATCAAGGAGACCAGCGCACAGGCTGCAGGCCCGGATGTACTGTCTAAATCGGCTGTCTCTCACCCTTTACCCACCCCTGTTGCTTGTCATGTGATTCTTTGGTGTATTAAGAGTTTTTTTATGTGCTATGTGCAGAGGTGTTTTTTCTGTTCTCAAACTGATCTCCCTGTTGGAGCTCGGTCTGGGGGGAGTTATTTTTTTCTCCTTATCTTTCCTCATGTGGTGCATTTTCCATTGTTATACCTCTCTGACCTGTCTTCCCCATGTGATGTTTGTGTCATGTATGTATGGTCAGAAGGGTAAGTCGGCGCTGGCAAAGGTCGGCAGCCTTAACCCAATTTCCTTCGGGGTCAACCTTCAGGATCAATAAAGTTTTATTGATTTGAATTGAATTGAATTGAGTTTTGGGTTGGCTCGCTGAGGCTCTTTTCCAGGCCTGAGTCACCTTTATCCACCTCTCTGCCATGGATAAGCCGCTCATCCTCAAAGTCTCGGTCAGACCTCTCATCTCCTGCCTCATTTCTGGCAAGGATGTGGTCAGATGATGAGGAGTCGGTCACTGCAGCTACCCAGGCTTCACCTGTTGTCTTTGCAGCTACCGCTTTCAAGGGGAGGCGGCGGTGATGCTACAGATGATCAGGGCCTCAAGTTGAGTCACAGACATCCCTTGAGTGGTGAGTCACGGGAATTTCTTGCCACCAGCTTTCTCAATATCCGAGGGGGCTGATATAGAAATATTACCTACGAACACTGTAAATTCTGAGTTAGCATCATGTGCGGATGTTGCTTGCAAGTCGAATAGTGAAGAGACTATGTTTCCAGTTTTCTTGCCTGAGGATTCACAGATTTAAAATGAAGTACTGTCATGAGGTTTTGGGAGCATCCAGTATGAGGGGGGAGATTTGTGATCACTTACTGATAACATCTCAGAATTCAATAAGAAGACATGTTGTGTTACGCAGACTGGTTATGGTTCTGATGTATTTTGTGCTTCCAAGTCTGTGAACTCTGGTGTCCAGTGCTGATTTAAATGCTTCACTAGAATGTGAAATGCCTGAGGCTGTAATGCGTTTTTAAAACTATTCCTTCCATAACCACTAGCTCACTTTCTGGGAACTCTGTTACTATAGACAATGTAGAGACTGGATTTTCAGCTCTAACGCCAGTTAGAACTGTTTGTTGTGAGACAGGTTGCTGTGAGACCAAACTAGACTCCTGTGGGTCTGAAATATGGGCTGGGTCGGATCCAGAGGCTGAGTCGAAGGACTCAGTGTGCTCTGGGTCCCCAGAAGTACTTGTTTCTACTCCCACTTGGGGGCTCAGCAGAGGTTGCCCAGGCCCGCTGTGCCAGCTGGAGGGTCAGACAGGGCTAGCCAGCAACTTCATGCTTGAGCTGGGGGTACATGCGAGTCCAGCCTCCAACTTTATGCTCCAGCTGGGGGTTCAGGAGACCCTAGCCAGCAGCTTCTTGTGCCAGCTGTATGCTCAGCCGAGCATATATGGTCCAGCCACGATTCAGCCAGAGGTTGAGGCCTCATCTAGTCTCATCTCAAAGTAGCCTGGTCTCGCCTGTCAATGCCCTGCGCGGCCTGCCAGTCCACAGCCACCTTCCAAGCCCCAACCAGCGCATCAGGCGCCTGCCAAGCCAGCCCGTCCATGGAAATCAACCAAGCCACCCAAGGGCCCTCACTCACGTTCACCCTAAGCCATAGCCTAAACTGGGGGTATGGAACTCCAGGCCTCAAGTGCCGGTGTCCTGCAGGTTTTAGATGTGTCCTTGTTCCAACACAGCTGAGTCAAATGGCTAAATTACCTCCTCAACATGTCTTGAAATCCTCCAGAGGCCTGGTAATTAACTAATCGTTTGATTCAGGTGTGTTGACCCAGAGTGTGAACTGTAACCCTGATACTAAAATCACATTTTGCACCTCAAAAATGCCTTCAAACCCAAACAGGCATTCTGTTCCCATAAGTGACTGTTGGTCCTCACAAATATAGTAGCATGCCAATTTTCTGTCATCACAAAGATATCTAAACATGTGCACGCACACACACACACACACACACACACACACACACACACACACACACACACACACACACACACAGCATTGATTCACTAGCTCATTATGTCCCAACCAATCCTTTGATTGACAGTATGTCAGAAAATAATAAAACTGGTTAAAAAGAAAAAAGTGCAAGCACTTATGGACAGGATCAGCATCACTGAAACAGAGGTACTGTGAAGTGTTTGAGAAAAGCTTAGCTGAAAGTTGTAGAAATGCAATGTGATCTCCTCGTACATTATACTCACTTAAGTGAATCCAGACTGAATCTACTCGGTTTGCAAAATCCATCACCCCATCACTCATTTCTTCATGTCACAATCCTTACCTGCTTCCACGTTGCCACTTCACTCTGCATCACACGTCTGAAATGCTCAAGTTTATTTACAGTTTTTT